CAGAGAGTTGAGGCGGTCAGCTAGAGTCCCCAAGCCCAATCCAAAGTATCCATCACTACAGCCCAGAGCTCATCTTAACTACCTATTATTGAGTGACGGTGGAGAGTCAGAAAGTTATGATGAGGCCCTTCGAGTAGATGATGCGAGCAAGTGGGAGCTCGCCATGAAAGATGAAATAAAATCTTTGAACACCAACAAGACATGGGAACTTGCGAAGCAACCAACGGGGAAAAAGGCCTTGAGCAATAAATGGGTGTACAGAATCAAAGAGGAACATGATGGTTCCAAGAGATACAAGGCCAGATTGGTGGTTAAAGGATTTCAGCAGAGAGAAGGAGTTGATTACACAGAGATCTTCTCTCCAGTAGTCAAACTAACTACCATCAGAACAGTCCTGAGTATTGTTGCAGCTGAAGATCTACATCTCGAGCAGCTAGATGTAAAGACAGCTTTCCTCCACGGTGATCTAGAGGAAGAGATATATATGCAGCAGCCAGAGGGGTTTACTCAGAAGGGAAAAGAGAAGATGGTATGTAGATTGAAGAAGAGCTTGTACGGCCTAAAACAAGCTCCAAGGCAATGATACAAAAAGTTCGATGGATTCATGCACAGAAACGGTTACTCCAGGTGCAATACTGATCATTACTGTTTCGTCAAAGAGTTTGACAAAAGTTACATCATCCTGCTCCTATATGTCGACGACATGCTTGTAGCCGGTTCAGATATGAGAGAGATCAAGAAGCTGAAGAAGCAGCTGTCGAGTGAGTTTGACATGAAGGACCTAGGCGCAGCGAAGCAGATATTGGGAATGAAGATTAGCAGAGACAAACTCTTAGGCACACTACGACTATCTCAGGCCGAGTATATTCGACGGGTGCTTGAGAGGTTCGGGATGAGCGGTGCTAAGGCCGTTAACACACCGTTAGCTAGTCATTTCAAACTGACTAAGGAGCAGTGTCCCGAGACTGATGAAGAGAAAGACTACATGGCTAAGGTTCCATATGCTTCAGCCATTAGAAGCCTTATGTACGCCATGGTATGCACGAGACCTGACATTGCCCATGCAGTGGGAGCTGTGAGCAGATTCATGTCAGATCCAGGAGAGCAGCACTGGGAAGCAGTAAAGTGGATTCTGAGATACCTGCGAGGTACAATAGAAGATTGTTTATGCTTCAGAAGAGGCAAGTTAGTTCTGCAGGGTTTTGTTGACGCAGACTATGCTGGTGAGATAGACCAGAGAAGGAGCACTACAGGATATGTATTCACTTTGGGCTCTACAGCTATTAGTTGGGTTTCTCAGTTGCAGAAGATCGTTGCTTTATCAACGACAGAGGCTGAATATGTTGTTGTGACAGAGGCAAGCAAGGAGATGATTTGGTTACAGGGTTTCTTGGAGGAGTTGGGACAGAAGAGTGAGAAGAGTGTCTTACATTGTGATAGCCAGAGCGCAATTCATTTGGCAAAGAATCTCGCTTTTCATGCAAGAACCAAACACATACAGGTCCTCTACCACTTCATAAGATCAGCGTTGGACGAGGACATGTTGGAACTTGTGAAGATTCAAGGAAGCAAGAATCCAGCTGATATGCTTACCAAGGTTGTCACTACAGAGAAATTGAAGTTGTGCTCAACTTCAGTTGGCCTCAGCACTTGATGATATGGAGGTTGTCGCCGCAGAGAGAGCTGAAAGAGATTGATAGTTAGTCTCCAAGTAGGAGATTGTTAGGATATGTGAAGCCTAATTATCAGGCATGCCCTACACTTCAGAATGAAGAGGAACAAAGTTGGAACAGGATGAACAGGATCGACGATGGCGAAGTTCAAGCAAAACGACGAAGGAGGCATTTTTCTGCATCGCGGTCGACCGAGCAGGGCGCGGTGGTCGACCGCCTATGTGCACAGCTGGGTGCACAGGCCAGAAACTTGTCGCGGTCGACCGAAGGTGGCGCAGCGGTCGACCGCTCAAAGTCCAGAGAGCAACCCAGCTTTCTGTCTTCGTCGCGGTCGACCGAGCATGGCGCTGCGGTCGACCGCCAGAACTGCATCGCGGTCGACCGCGCATGGTGCGACGGTCGACCGCGAGTCGGGTTTCGGCCCAGATTCGAATTTTTGACCTGTTTTGATCTGTTTCCTTTTTTAGTTGTTAAACCCTTAAGTCTATAAAAGGGTTGATTAGGGCATGATGTATTGAGACGAAAAATAGTGAATTTTTCTCCTGCGATGACCGTGGACGTAGTTTCTCACATTGAGAAGCGAACCACGTAAATCTTGTGTGTTTGAGTTTGTTTGATTTTCTCTCTTCTCTCCTAAATCTCTATTTCCAAATCGCATCAGGGGGGTTGTGCATCCCCAACAATATTCGCCACGTACATGCATAATATATATTGCAGAGAATAATAGCAAAAATCTAGATTCGAACAATATCTTTCACGTTGAAGGACTCGTAGGTTGAAGATTATTAGTTCGATCTGCATAGTTTCTTCGTACATCATCAGCTTGGAATATTGCTAATTGAAAATTCATATAATGCTAAAAAATGAGATTTGGAATCAGATTAGGTGACATGTTCACATCAAGATTATCCTTTTTTTTTTTTTTTTTTTGGATTAAGTGAACAATCACCGAAAAATTTACCTAGGCGATCATTACCTTCGCTTTCTGCCTATATAATGCATGTAACCAGGTCATTTTATTTCGTTTGATATCTAGAGGCTCGACAAGCATATCTTATCATTAAATTGGAATATACATATAGCAGTTTTCTTTGTCAAGTAGCAAATAGTCCAGTTAATTTAGATGGATCATGAAATCCCAAACAAATTGGATTGGAAAGCGCTAATTTTATGCTGTTAATAATGATAAGGATCATCTCAACAGTAATAATTAATGATGATAAGCATGACAATATTAATATTATTATGAAATTTTGCTGTCGATCTGCATCACTTCAACTAGATTTAGTCGGCCCATGTCACTATCACTTGGAGATGCTCACGGAACAACCTCGGACATTCATCTTATATCCAGTGATATTATAGTAAGAATGGCAAAAACATGCACGTGTCAATAAATATGCATCAGGAGATGCCTTCAATGGCAAAGCCCCAGAAACTTAAGCATATGTACTGTGAGGCGCTTGATTTCTCTTCAAGCCCTTTTTACTATATACCAAAATTTCGAAGTTGTGATATGAGTTGGAGATATAAGCTTATATTCTAACATGTCACCATAAGTCGAACACCCTTTTCTGGCCCGAAACATGTCTTATCTATAGCTGATTTTTTTCTCTAAATCTGCTTTAACTGTGTGCCGGTGGTCTTTGGACTTCTATGTTACCCGGGTACTTCTATAATGAAGCCGTACCCGTACCCAATACTTTCCCGTACCCAAACTTCATGGACACTTCTTGAATATATGCATGCATTTATTACAACATGTACTTAATTATATGATATATGTGTTAATTTAAAACACTTGTCAAAGACTTCCTGGACGTAGAGCTTACACTTCACATCCGTCTTTTAAAACTAATGAGATACGGGTCAGATTCGTTTCAGTCCATACCCAAGTTTAAAACTATATTATATATATATATATATATATATATATATATATATAGAGAGAGAGAGAGAGAGAAAACTGTAGGTAAGCTGCCAGTTCACCGTCTCTGTGCGCTGCAGGGGCTTTATTGCAAAAAAAGTCACTTTTTCTTCCGTGAACTCGTTGTTCGTGACCATTCTCTCTCCTGAAATTTATTGCCCCGTGACCGCTCTCTCTCTCCCCCAAAATATCAACTCGTGACTTCAAAAATTTCCCCAAATCCGCTCATCTCACCTACATTTCCAATTCCGACGAGATCAGCTGCTTTCTCCTCCGACGAGATCCCCAAATCCGCTGCTTTCTCCTCCGACGAGATCAGCTCTCCTCCGACGACATCAGCCCTCGACACCACGAGATCTCGAGCCTTCGACGCCGCTGCTTTCTCCTCCGACGAGATCAGCTCTCCTTCGTCGTTCCCCAAAGACACCACGACATCAGCCCTCCTCCTGCAACAGAGCGCCGCTTCCCCAAATGCGCTCACGAGTTCTCGAGTCTTCGACGCCGAAGCCCCGTCGAAGACGCTTCCTCCTCTCTCTCTCTCTCTCTCTCTCTCTCGACGCCGACGCAGGTAAAAACCCTACCCATCTCTCTCGATCTCTCCCACGATCCCTATGTTTGGATTGTGCTAAAATTGGAGATGGATGAATTTTTTTGGTGATGATTTTTTGGAGATGGATGATATTTGTTTTGAACTGAGTTATGATTTAGTTTGCATCATGCAGCTCTGCAGTGATTTCGTTTGTTTTTAAATTCGTTTGCATCACCCATGCTATCGTTTCGGAATTGGATATTAAAATCTGTAAGCTTCATTTTTTGTTAACTGCTGGCTGTGAACAAGTAAAACTGTTTGTCTTTAGAGTCGAGAGCATCTAACAAATATGAAACCTAGCAAACACAAATATGAAGAAGTTCTTGTAAACAAGAATCTCCATTTATAGAATTCAGAATTGTTTGCCTTTTGTGGAGTGGAAATGTTTTAGGAGTGGAAAATGTTTTAGGAGTGGCATGTGTGCTTGTTGCATTGTTTTAGAACTAACAAGCAAATTTGGAAAAGAAAAATATATCTATGTGTGTTTACAGTATTAGAATGATGAGGATGCTAAGAAAAATGAACTAACCAGCACAAATCAGTCTCATTAATGAAATAATGTGTTCAAATGGTGTCAGTAATATGAAGACTACATAACAGGAAGGTGTCTAACAAATATAAAGCGAACTAGTTCACACCTGCACATAAAACTAAAAGCACACATGCATGGACGCACAAGTGTACACAGAGAAAAAGAAATAAATAAGCATCAGGTATTATTTTGCCATCTGAGTGTGTTTTTATTATTTTGCCAATTATTATTCACCATTTGCTATGAATATGCAAACTTTTATATATGAAGCCGTGTAGCATGGAGTCATCTTCAAGCAATCGTCATGTACTGTTGTGGTATTGTGGAATGAGGGCTATACTCTCCAGATCTGGAACTAAGAGGAACCCTGGTCGATTGTTTTTTGGATGCGCTAATTGGAAAGTGAGTAATTGTGGATTCTTCAAATGGGTATCTGATGAAGAGGAGTTTGAAGGTCAGATGAAGCAGTGGAGCGCGACGCCGCAATTTTCAAGAGCCGTGTCAAGTGGAGAAGTGCAGGAAAAGAGAAAGATTGAGATTGATATTATGGATTTGTTGAAGCTTATTATATTTGTTCTTTTAGTTGGTATTTTTATTGGATTTGTGCTAAGTAGGGTGTGAGAACGTATTATTGGATTTGTTATCAGTTAGTACTTTGTAAATAATAATGTTATCAGTTTGATGTTATTGGATTTGTGCTTATTATAAGTTGAAGCTATTATATTATTCTACAGAACTACAGGAGACATGGCAATGCATTATATTATTCTACAGACTACTTGTAGAGTCTTATCCGACCCTTTCCACCAATGGCACATCCTTAAGATCGAGTGCTGATTATCAAGAATACTACTTTTTGTGTATACATTTTCTACTTCATTCATACACATGCATTTTCCTGTGTGAACATACAAGGATTCTCTTGTGTCTGTGTGCGCGCACTGGCATGTGTGCTTGTTGCATTATTCTCATGTAATATAACTTTCTTTAACAGAGTTCTTGGTATCGATATATGATGTACTGGTTCTACTAAGATCATGTTATTTTCAGCTTTCTTCCAGTATATAAGTTTTCACTGGACATCATAGCTTAATTTGTGAAGCCTCAAATTGCTGTCATTTGCAGTAAACTACTGAATATGACAAAATTTTCTGTGAGTCTTCTGTATTTCAAAAGAAATCTCCAAAATATCCCAATTAAATTCTTTGGTTGAACATAAAATAATTTTTAGTCTAAAAGAGCTCAAAGACCAAGATCAGATGACATTGATGGAGTTGGTCGGCTTCCAATGCTGAATGATGCATATTATATAGATCTTCTTTGTGAGTTTGCTGCCATGTTTTTAATTGCAAATAAGGTGGACAGCATTCACAATTTTGTTAAACATGAACAATAATATAATACATGAACGATAATAACTCACTTAAAAACGACGTTTGGAAATTAGATACAGCACTTAATAGCAAATGATAAACACATATGCAGCACAAATGTATCGACCATAATATAATACATCCAAGAACTCTCACAAATTTGAACATTTTCTTGTCTCAAAACAGAAAAAGTTACAACTCATTGTCCTCCACTTTCAGGCTCCAAATAGTAAGATATAAGCACACACAGCTAAGCTACTTGGATGTTCTCTTTGCTAGTCTCAGTTCTATTCATCATCTTCCTGCATACGACAATAAGGGAACAACAGAAAAAAAATAAGACACGTATCATACGACAATAACCACAAGCTGAAAAAGGAAGCAACTATCACAACTTCTAATGAGTAAGGCAACAGCCAAACTCAGCTGTAACCTCAATAATGTCAAGTTTGGTATAAGCTCCTGTCTCTTAATTTTATCCCTCTTTTAACTTTTCTGATTGCTACCAAAATCTAACTTATATCTCGATGCAGGTGATGGTATAATTAAGTTATGTTCATTGGCCAGGCTGCCAAACTTTTATTTATTGTTATCATTCTTTGAAATAATAAATGATAGTGCAGTCTTAATCCTGGAATTTGTATTACTTGAAGATAAGGCGTTGGGACAGAGAACAAGCTCCCTGGGGGTATGGAATTAATTTATACACAATTGAAGATGCAACCATATGATTTCATTCTCTCTCTTTCCATCTGTTCTCTCTTTTTTTTACAGAAAAGTAACAGTTACTAGAATACGGCAATATGCCCCTCTTAATAAGTTGTGATATCTAAGTGGAGGGTAATGCTATATATGATATTGGAAAACTAAATTGAACATTAACGCGGCTACCATATGACCGTCGCAAAAAGGGAACAAATTCCGACATACTTACATGAACAAATCCATGCATGTGGAGTTTGAAGAATCCAGACATATTTTCGTTTAGCTGCAAATCACATGACAAATTAATCATATAATTGTACCAAGGCAAAAATTATTAAGAGGTGAACTTTCATGAAAAAATATTAACTATACCTTGGCAAGTTGACTTTACAGCTAGTTCTATAATGCCCGAGCTCACCACATCTGCTACATATACGTTTCTTCCTTTCTTTCTTTTCTTGTGCTTGTTCTAAACCTGACTGGTGCAGCTCTATCAGGATCACGAACTGTAATCTGAGGAATGTGCTCCATTGTATGTGAGATGTGTGCGGATATTTGAGTGTCCACCATTTGATCTTGATTTGAGGAATGTGCTCCAACTTCTTCTTACAGTGGTTCTATAAATTTTGTTAGCACATCATCTAGATTTTGCATCTTCTCTTCTGAAGCAAATGCAAGCTCGAGCGCATTATTGAATTTTGCTCTTAAGGCCCAAGATTTCAATAAATTAATCTTCTCTTCACAACTTGTGATGTTTCTTCCATATATAATGTTGCCAACCCCAATGTTACGATGTCGAGCATGTATAGTCCAACGGTGAAGGATGTAATGGTCGGGTAATGAATCCATTTGCCTAGCCATCATTAGCGATAATATATGTCTACATACAACACCATTAGTTTCAAACAAAGCACAAGTACAACGAAATTGCATCTGACTAGATTGCTCATAAGTAACCACCTCCCATTTTCCTCTATCTGTAAACTTACAGACTTTGTATTCAACAATGTCTCCATCTTTTCTCAATTCTTCACAAAACTCTGTACCAAATACTTTGAATTCAGTTTGGAACACATCAAACATATTGCGTGTATACATTTCTCCAGCTTGGACCTCAATTCAGACTCTTGAAATCTTCATGGGCTTCACTTAAGCGACGATGAGTTACTGCTTTTTCATATTGTGTCACAAACTCGTGTAATTGAGTCTGTGAGTTAACATACCCATCAAAAAATGCATTAATACTTTCACTCCTTTGGCTCGATCTCATTCCAGCAAAAAAAGTATCCTTCAGATAATACGGCACCCAGTGTTCTCTGCAGTTGTAAACTGTTTGCAACCATCCCTCCCCTTCTTCATTTATATCAAACTTCTCTTTCATCTCAACCCAATATCCTTCATATTGTTCAATTAAAGAACTATTGCACCACAAGCCCCAATACCTTTGAAACTGTTCACCATAACGAGATACCAAAGTAGGCAAATGATCAATAATATGCTTTTGCATGTGCCAATAGCAATAACGGTGTCTTGTCGTTGGAAAAACTGAGTGAATAGCATTACACATTGCCCTATCCTGATCTGTTATAATAGCATCTGGTTCAATGCCATGCATGCATTTCAGCCATTCTTCAAATAACCAAACAAAGATATCTTCCTGTTCATCGGCTAATAATGCACAACCAAGTAAAGTGGACTGCCTATGTTGATTTACACCAGTAAATGGAGCAAATAGAAGACTGAACTTATTAGTTCTGTATGTCACATCAAACACAATAACATCACTGAATTTCAAATAAGATGCTCTTGATCTTCCATCGGCCCAGAAAACACTCCTCATTTGTCCACTACTGTCTACTTCTATTACAAAGTAAAATTCTGGATCATTCGCTGTCGCACTCTGAAAATGTCGAATGATAGATATGCATTCATGACCAATATTATTGACTCTTTGGGTTCTGATATGATCAATGCATTGTTGTAATGTCACTAATTCACCTTCTCTTCCATTAGTTGCATTGATGACGCGAGAAATAGTGGAAGGAGGCATACCTTCTTCACGCAGGCTATCAATAAGTTTTTTACATCTTTGGGTTTTATGAAATTGTTGATGTGATCTGTGCATTTTTGCTTTGTCTGGACTACTCAACACATGATTTGTATGTTCTTCAACAAACCCTGTGACCTCCCACAATTTGTCCTGCAATATTTTCACTCGCATCATTGCTTTACATCCCACCCGAGTCTCTCGCCGAAGATGAATCTCCATCTTGTCTTTATTAGATTTATAGCCCTCCTTATCACAAACAAACTTTCTGTCTACCACTTCTCTAGTCTTGCGAGAGTAATTCACCGTGCTCTTTCTTATTCCAAAACCCATCAACAATGCATATGAGTTCTAATAGTTATAAGCTTCTTCATAACTATTAAACTTCATTCCCATAAGTGGTTTAGGAGCATTTACACTAGTTGAATTTGTTTCCTCCATTCCGAACTCTACACTGGTTGAATTTGTTTCCTCCATTCCGAACTCCTATAAAGAAGAAAACCAATTCCAAACATTATGTTCAATGTTGCTTCAAAACTAAGGATGTAATGGTGAAAAATTAAAGATTGATACAGAAAATATTGGTCATGATCATAATTATATATATATAAACACGGGTCAAACAATCCAAATCTACATAGATAACCAAAAATAGCATTAATTACACAAGAATAATGTTATATGTTAATTACATCTTTCATGCTTTACTTTCTGTCTTCACAGCCAGCAGTTAACAGAAAATATTAGTAGTTTCTGTAATATTGGTAGTTTCTGTAATCTATATTATCAAGATTTGACTTCATTTACATCCTTAATATTTCAATCATGATTCCTAAAACATTTTCCTCCATTTACTACTTGCATCATTTCATTGAAAACAGTTTCAGACGCCACTCTTCCTAAAACATTTTCCACTCCTAAAACATTTCCACTCCACAAAAGGCAAACAATTCTGAAATCTATAAATGGAGATTCTTATTATACAGAGATAAACATGTCTAACACCTCTGAGCTACTGTATAAATTAGCTTGATATCTCTGATTCACAAGTTAAAAATTCGAATGAAATGTTCAATGCATACAAATGAATACCTCCTCAGTGCCAAAGTTTCACACAGAACCCTGTAGTCACTGGTGGCTGCCTTTTGCTCGAGAGAGGGAAGGGGGGGCTGATGGTGGCGCACACAGAAAGGGGGGCTGGAGGCACTCAAAAGGCGGCGGCTCAGAGGGGACTCGCGGCGGCTTCGATTTGGGGCGAGGACGAACGGATCTCGCGGCGGCGACGAAATGGGCGAGGACGGGACCGATCTCGCTCAGAGCTGGTCAGAGGGGTCGCGGCGGGGATCTCCTCTCTCGCGGCGGCCACGAAATGGGTATATATATATATATATATATATATATATATATATATATATATATAGTCGTGTCCCCGTACCCTACATTTTACAGTTTTTCCGTGTCATGTACCCGCACTCACACCCATACCAGTACTCGTG